TGTAAGCAAAATATCTTTATTATTGTTGTTATTGCTATCATCATCATTACTATTTTATGGTGCTGGGGATTGAACCCAAGGCCTGGGAGAACATGCTGAGCATGCTTCATCCCCAGTACTTAAAGAAATTTCAAATAAAAATTTTAACCTGAGATGCTGAAATGAAGTCAGCTATGAGAAAAAAGAATGTGAGGTGAAGTTTGAATGTGGCCAAAGAGTTTGACATTTGAGGGGATTGTTCACTTTTAAAGTGTCATTCAAAGCAAGAGAGATTGGTTCTTCAGCAATGTGCCCAGAGAGAAGAGCTTGAAGCTAGGGCTTCTGTGGCACTTTTGGAGCCGAGCCAGTAGGGGGTGGCTTGAAGTTGCAGGTACTGAATTGCTAGGTCACCAGCCCTGGGTGTCAAAGTGCACAGAACTAGCATGTTGTGATGTCGCAGAAACGCTAGGTCTAAATTATATCCAGACTTTGTTTGTTGAGACTTTGTTGAAGCTCACTTTGAACTTGAAATCCACTTGCCTCCATTTCTTCAGTGCTGGGACTGTAGGCCTGATCTACCAGTCTAGTCAGGGTTTGATATTTTCATTAAAATCAAAAGTCTTCATGAAGGAGCTCTATAGGGCTGAAAAGCTCTATAGGCCCCAAGCTGTACCTTACCTTAATAATCAAGCAGAAAATTAAGTCAGAGCCTGGAAGGCTGCAGAGCTCAGGGTTCTTGTATGTTTTCAGGTGTGATGTTTGGCCCTTCCAATAGTAGGTATCCCATCCCTGGTAGGATAGCTCCTGCTTGTATTAAAAAAAAAAAAAAATTGTGTTGGGTGTGTTGGAACATGCCTTCAATCCTAGCACTTAGGGAAGCAGAGACAAACGAATCTCTGAGTTCAAGGCCAGCCTGGTCTCCTGAGTCCAGGACAGCTAGGGCTGTTACACAGAGAAACCCTGTCTCGAAAAACAAAACAGACAAACAAAAACCAAGCAAACAAAAAAGATTTGTTATTATTATTTTTATTTCCATGTATGTGGGTGTGAATGTATGCCACTGCATGCCCAAGAAGGCAAGAAGAGGGCATCAGATTCCTTGGAGTTGGAGTTAAAGGTGTTGTAGGTGCTCGGAAACAAACTCAGGTCCTTCTCGAGCGGCAAATGCTCTTAACCTGTGAGCCGTCTCTTCAGCCTTGTGTGTAACTTTTTTGGTTGAGGACCCTTTACCATCGATGCTGGATAGACAGTTTTGCCACTGCCAGGATATGACCCTAATGGTTGGAAAGTGAATGCCTTATTGCTCCTCCTCAGCATGACTGTACATCACATTCTCGCCCCTCAGAGAGAAGAGGCGTGGGGACCACCTTTGAGGGTGTCAGGTTTGCAGGTGGTTTCTTCTTTTGGAGATATGAGTACCATGGCCTCACTGCTGGGTAACTGGACTGAACAGAGCTGGCACACACTTGCTGTCCCCATTTGGGTCTGTGGGTACTGGCTATAGCCCCCAGCGTCTGAGTTTCCCATTCCTCAGCTTTTGGCATGGAGACAAAGTCCACTTGTTCTGTCGGCCCTGTTGTTGAAAGTGACACACACAGCAAGGTCTTGTTGGTTGGCAAAGGACAGGCCCTTCAGGTGCTACCCTCCATTCTTTGGACTGATGGATATCTGCACTATTCGGTGTGCCTGAGAGTTTGTTTTCAGTGGAGAATTTCACAGGTCCTTGTCAACTAACTAGGGTGATGTGACTTAAGCAGGTTGGAATCTAGAGTGAACTCAGGTTGTTTTGGTGACAGCTGCTGTGAAGCCTGTTTCTGAAGTGTTTCTGTTCAAAACTGAAGCATCTCTGGTGCACGCCTTTAATCCCAGCAGAAGTGGGACCCTCTCCCTGAATTCAAGACCAGCCTGATCTACATGGTGAGTTCCAGGTCAGTCAGGATTACATAGAAAAACCCTCTCTCAAACAAACAAACCAACCTACGACAAAAACTTGATGTGATAAAAGCAGGTCCCACAGACCTTGTAGGGAAAAGAAAGCCACTGAAGCTTATGGTTCTTCTGTATCATTTGTGCAGTGTGGTAGCATCTGTCCCAAATGCCTCCTTGTCTCTGCAGTCTGTTGTCGATTATTAATGTTTATTATAGATTTATCTTTTAGTTAAACAGAGGTTATTCCTAAGCCGGCTCTATACCCAAATCACCACACAGAGACTAGGATTTATTTAATTAACCTAGAGCACTAGGCAATAGTTACTCCATCCTAAACCTCCAAGCACACATAGCTTCCTCCCATTCAGATTTCCCACATTATACTTGCTTTTTTTAGTCATATCTTAGGTCCGGTTCATCTCTCCTCGTGGTTTCAAGTCCTCTCCTGCTGATCTCTCCTGTCTGACTCTCCCACTTGCTCCTTTCTCTCCCCTCCCCCCTCCGGACCAGGATGTCCCACCCTATTCTCTCCATTGCTCAGCATTGGCTGGTTGTTTTATTGAAATTACAGAGAACAAATGGTGGCATGTTTACAAACTTAAGACAAGTGATGCTTAAGCATCACAATGCAATGTCCGGATTGAAGCCGGATAGGGGGTAGAGAAATCAGCATTTGAATGAACAAGGGTAAATTGTATAAATTCCACAAGAAGCGTTGTACCAAAGTGGCCCCTGGTCCCTTTCTTATACTGATTTGGCATCTGTGTCCTTGTGGTAAGGTGCTCCCTACTATACCGTAGAGCAGCCCAGGTTCCTAAATGAAAGGGTGGTTGTCCATTCACAGGGTTTTGTCTTAGGAGTAGTTCTTCAGGGCAGGTATCTGTTCTTATTCCCACATATATAGCCTATCCTGTCAATCCCAAGACAGACAGATCTTCATAAAGATAACCATTTTACACTTTTAGTTACAAGTGACTCTTCTAAATGAAAATTTACAGCTTTTCTTACCACAAAACCTATGAATATACTGCTGATTTTAAATTTCATTGGATGATAATATATTAATAATTCGCAGTTTATGTTGAAATTATTTTAAAAATGCAAATTCTAGGGTTTTTTTTCTCTAAAAAAAGCCATAATTCAAGTTTATTTTCCACAGGGAAAATAAATTGCTCTCTTTTTCTTTCTGTGATAGAAATGGAACTCAGTGTTTCACTCATGCTAATCATCATTTCTACCACTAAGTACCTCCAGCCCCAAGAATCCGTTTATGGGGGATGGAAAGATGGCTCAGCAGTTAAGAGTAGATAGCACTCTTTCACAAGACCCAAGTTTGATTCCCAGTACCCACATCAAGTGGCTTAACAACTTCCTATAACTCTAGCTCCAGCAGATCCAGGATCTGATGCCTTCTTCTAGGCTCTAAAGAGGATTCATATGTGCATGTCCCCCACTTAAAAAAACAAATTGAGCCGGGTGTGGTGGTGCACTCCTTTAAACCCAGCACTTGGGAGATAGAGGCAGACAAGAGTTCTGTGAGTTCAAGGCCAGCCTGGTCTACAAAGCAGGACAGTTATGCAGAGAAAAAAAAAATCCGTCTCGAAAAAAAAAAAAAATCAAGTATGAAAGAGAATTATTTCTCATATGAAAATCAGAATTATGGGTTGGGTGTGGTAGCATATACCTTTATTTGTTTGTTTGTTTTCAAGACAGGGTTTCTTTTTGTAGCCTTGGCTGTTCTGGACTTGCCTTGTAGACTGGGCTGTCCTTGAACTCACAGAGATCTGCCTACCTCTGCCTCCCTGAGTGCTGGGATTACAGGTGTTCGTAGCGTATGCCTTTAATATCAGCACTTGGGAGGCAAAGGCAGCCAGGTCTCCGAGCTGGAGGCCAGCTTGGTCTAAATAGTGAGTTTCAGGCCAGCCAGAGGTACAAAGTGAGATCATATCTAAAATAAATAAGGAAGCATACACTTTGTGGTTTGAATGTAGGGTACTTGAAGTTTCTGATGTCCCTTTGTCCGTTGGCTGTCACCTGCTGTGGCATTGAGGCATTAGCTGATAGTAGTTATTAGTTTATGTGATTGTTCTCTTCCATTTGAAATGAGCTTTGATTCCTCCTTCAACATCAGTTAATCATCGGGTGGTAGAGTTCCACGTGAGAAGTAAAGCCACAACCCAGTTCAAATACTGAGGGATTATATCTGGAAGTGACACCTGGCCTCGGGGCTCTAGTGAACTCAGGGTGAGCACTTGTTGTCTCCGAGCACACAGTCCCTGTGGCCAGTCCTGAGCCTGGCTCACTATCTTCTTGGTTACCTGTTGGGGAGTTTGGCATTCACGCCAGTGTGGTATGGCTGACGCTCAGTAGGAACACTTTAACCACCAGCCTTCAAGTCTAGAGACAGACAGGACAAGGAAGGTATTCTTGTTCAAGGCCACAGCCTTGGAACCTTTTCAGTGCCCTGCTGCAGAGGTACTCATCAGCATGAGGCTGTCATTTCATGTGATACCGGGGGAGGCGGGGCTTAGGTTGTCCTGTTTGGACTCTGCAGATGTGCTTGTCCTGCCATCAGCAGAAGGAAGACAGATGAGGGTGGGACAGTCTGCTTACACCCTCAGGTCAGACGAGAAGAAGGCTGGGGTCTTTACTGTGAGAGAGGGACCAAGGCTGGGGCTCCTAGAAGTATGAGGAAAAGGAAGGGACAGTTCTCTGCCTTACTCTCTCAGCTTGTGAGATGGACACAGATTATTCCCCGAGGCCTTTTGACGGGTCATTTCTGGTGGTGGTTTGGGGAGGGTACAAATGTTGAAACACATTTCGCTAAGAAGAGAATGGTGCATGCCCGTAATCCCAACACTCAGAGAGGCAGAGGCAGGCAGATCACTGTATCAGGCCAGCCTGGTGTACAAATCAAGTCCGGGACAGCCAAGGCAACACAGAGAAACCCTGTCTCAAAAAACCAGGAGAGAGAGAGAGGAGAACGCTTGTCCTGGTGTGCATACCGGTGATCCCAGCTCTCAGGAGGTTCAAGCTGGAGGACCTGAGAATTTGAGGCCACCTTGAACTACATAGTGATAAACTATCTTTAAAAACAAGGACCACATTGTTGCTTTAGCAACATTAGAACGATAAAGAGATTAGTATGGTCTGTGCACAAGAATGACATACAAATTTGTGAAATGTTCTATATTTAGAAGTTAACAACAACAACAACAAAAAACAGACACACATACACACACACACACACACACACACACACACACCGCTGGGGTTATAGCTCAGTAATAAAACACTTCCCTACATGAGGCCCTGAGGTCAATCTCCAACAACACCAGAAAAAATATTTTTAAAAGTGATTAAATTCCTGCCCTGCCTGGAGGGACTGCACGGTGGTCCATAGGAAGGCTCCCAGAGGAAGAATTCCATCTATTATAATTCCTTTCTATGAAGGGCATTTTGTCATTTCAAGTGAGAGCACAACCATTTGCTGATGAGCTGGAGATGTGAAGTGCTGAAAGGGGACAAATGATGCTATGTAATGGCTTTACCCCTCTTCAGGCAGTCTTAGGGATTGGATCTGTCCCCAAATAATTCAGGTCTCAAAATTCTGACCACCCCTAGCACCTCAGAATGTAACCACATTTGGGAATATTATTGTTGTAGACATAATCAGTGAAGATGAGATCATTTGGGAAGGCTCTGGGACCCACTAGGAGAGGAATTACAAAAAGAGGAATTTGGACACAGAGAGTACACAGGTAGAGATGGGATGGTGTCACTGCAAAACCACAGAACGTCAGAGGTCGGCAGCAGCTCCCAAGGCAGCAGGGTTTGATTTTCTTTTTTGTACTCAGACTCCAGTCACCAGTGCTGTGTGAGGGTGAAGGTCCGTGTGCACATTGCCCTCTCTGTACCCTGGAGTTACAGCAGCCACAAGCAGTGTGAGGTGTCAAGAGGTGAGCGTGACCGAGTCAGGAGCATTACCGTGCATTCTGGGGTTCTTGGTGTGGGCCTGTCTTTGGTGAGGGATTGTTAACCAGAGAATCTAACTGCTTTTGTTATGTTCCATGGACTCTGGAAGTCCCCAAGGAGCTGAGCTTGGGTCCAGCTCTGGTGCTGGACAGTGAGTAACCGTAAGCAGAAGCTCTGCAGCTGTACAAATCCAAGAGTTTGGAAAAATCTCAGGTCCAAATCTGTGAGTGTCTGCTGTGAATTCTCCGTAGTGTGTGTGTGTGTGTGTGTGTGTGTGTGTGTGTGTTTGCTTATTTACTTGTTTTATTTTTGTTTTTTCAAGACAGGTTTCTCCATGTAGCCTTGGCTGTCCTGGAACTCCCTCTGTATACCAGGTTGACCTCAAATTCACAGAGGTCTGTCTGTGCCCCCCCCCCCAAGAGCTGGGATTAAAGGAGCATGCCACCACGTTTATATATTCTTAAGGATGCTTCTTCTGATGTGAGGGATGAAGACCACAGGCTAGGTTATTTAACTAGTTTTTCAGTTTGAGTGAGAAATAACCTTGTTTACTGATGGGCAATTTTTATTTTGTCTGAACATTTTAGCTGTTGCATAAAGAATTCTATCCAGAACTTCCATTAGGGTCCCAGAAGTGCTTCAGATGCTTTGCCCACAGACAGGGCTGGTGCCCACCTGCTGTTTGCTGTTTGAGTGAGTCATGACCTCACACCTCCTTAGCATATCTATGCTAAGGGCCTTTGGCGACTCCGCTCTGCTGCCAGCATCTGTGTCCACTGCCTCTACTCTGTTCTGGCTTGTCAGCCTGTGTGCTGGGTGAATGCTGACCCTTTACTTGTACTCTGCTGCCATCTACCTGGACTGATTTCACAGCAAATGTGTTTTTATGTGTGGCTAACTATTCTGTTCTCCTCCTCCCCACAGAGTCTTTAGAAGACGCAGCAGCAGGGCTCCCAGATGAACAACCGAAAGGAAGATATGGAAATCACATCTCACTACCGGCACCTGCTTCGAGAGCTCAATGAGCAGAGGCAGCATGGAGTCCTGTGTGATGTGTGCGTCGTGGTGGAGGGCAAGGTTTTCAAGGCACACAAGAACGTCTTGCTTGGAAGCAGCCGCTACTTCAAGACACTCTACTGCCAGGTACAGAAGACATCTGACCAGGCCACTGTCACTCACTTGGACATTGTTACAGCCCAGGGCTTCAAGGCCATCATTGACTTCATGTATTCCGCCCACCTGGCTCTCACCAGCAGGAATGTCATCGAGGTGATGTCAGCTGCCAGCTTCCTACAGATGACTGACATTGTGCAGGCCTGCCATGATTTCATCAAGGCCGCACTGGACATCAGCATCAAGTCAGATGCCTCAGATGAACTCTCAGAATTTGAGGTTGGCACCCCAGCCAGCAACAGCACAGAGGCATTGATCTCAGCGGTGATGGCTGGAAGGAGCATCTCTCCATGGCTGGCTCGGAGAACAAGTCCTGCCAATTCTTCTGGAGACTCCGCCATCGCCAGCTGTCACGAAGGAGGAAGCAGCTATGGGAAGGAGGACCAGGAACCCAAAGCTGATGGCCCCGATGACATTTCTTCGCAGTCTTTGTGGCCTGGAGACATAGGCTACGGGTCTCTGCGCATCAAGGAAGAACAGATCTCGCCATCACATTATGGAGGGAGTGAGCTTCTGCCTTCCAAGGACACTGCATTACAGAACTCCTTATCCGAGCAGGGTGCTGGAGATGGCTGGCAGCCCTCAGGCCGGAGGAAGAATCGGAAAAACAAAGAGACTGTCCGACACATCACGCAGCAGGTGGAGGAAGACAGCCAGGCTGGCTCTCCGGTACCCTCATTTCTGCCCACATCAGGATGGCCTTTCAGCAGCCGAGACTCAAGTAAGCCTTTCTTGTGGCAGGCTGGGTGTAGGTGGCCAAGGTCACTGTGCTGGTGACCTCGTGACTGGTGGTGAGGTGGCACATTCCCACGTTCACACTAGTGCCTTCCTATGGTGACCCTTTTTTATTTTTTCAAGACAAGGTTTTTCCATGTAGTCCTCGCTGTCCTGGAAATCACTGTATAGAACAGGCTGGCCTGGAACTCAGAGATCCACCTGCCTCTGCCTTCCAAGTGCTGGGATTAAAGGTGTGTGCCACCACCGCCCAGGCCCAGGGCCACCTTCTATCACAGTAAATTAGTGTAACTGTAGAGAATATGACCTACGTATCTCAAAGGCTAAGTTGACTTCGGGGCCCTAACAACCCTGGTGTGTCCCTCACATGACACGGCTCCAGCACTAGAAGCCACCTGAGTGGGGCCTCCACGAGACCAGTAAGATAAGCTGGAGGAGGGTCTGCAGCTGAACTGGGAGGGAGTCAGCTGGGGAAGCTCCACCATTCTGGGTTGTCTGCCTTTCTTCATGCCGACTTCGTCTCCTCGGCACTGTCAGGGCCACCCGGAAGTCACTAGAGTAGGGCTCAGCGCTGTTCCCCACCCCAGACTTGGCTTGGCTTGGCTCGGCTTGGTTTTCAGTTTTCTTGCTGCCTCAGACTGGGATGCTGTAACTGAAAACATCCTCACCGTGAGGGATGAACGTGTCTCATGTCACACGTGGTCGCAAGCACGTACTACTCTTGCTGAGGACCCAAGTTCAACTCCTAGCATCCATGTCTGGTGGCTCACAGCTGCCCTTAACTCTGACGTGCAGGGGTACATGTGCTCATGGGCATATGCTGCCACCCACATACTTACGTTTTAAAAACTTTTACTTTTCTTATTCTTTGGTGATATTAATTTTATTTTTTATGTGTGTGGGCATATTAGCTGCAGGTGCAGCCTGACTCTGATTCCTGGGACCTACATAATGATGGACAGAGAGAAGCAACTCCTCAGGGATGTCCTCTGCTCTCTGCATGGGCACGCATATGAACATGGGCACACACACATGCACAAATACATGTAATAAAAGTTAATTGGTGAGATTTTTAATTTTTGTCTTACATGTATGAATGTTTTTGCTTCCATGTCTATTGCATCATGTGCATGCCTAATGCCCGATGAGATCAGAGGTCAGAAGAGGGTGTTGGATCACCTGAAACTGGAGCAGGTGGTTGGAGCCACCATATCAGTACTGGGGACTGAACCTGGGTCTTCTGTGAGAATAAGTGTCCTTAACTGCCGAACCATCTCTCTACATACACTTCAAGTTTATTTTTTATCTTATTTACTTAGTTTAGTTTAGTTTTGTTTTGTTTTTCCTGAACTCACTTTGGCCTTGAACTCACAGAGATCCTCCTGCCTCTGCCTCCCTGAGTGCTGGGACCCCACCACACATGACTTTCAAGCTTACTTTTAAAGCTCTCCATTGCCCTGTATTTCTAACACTGAGCCAGAGCCAGACTCGGCCATGTTTGTAAAAGTTGGTTCTGCTCAGCATCGCTCCCCCTCTGGCTGAGTCATTCTCTGTGCTGGTGTCCTGAGGATGGAAGGATGTTGAGCAGGGCCCCTGGGCTGTACCAACAAGGCATCAGTGGCATTCTTCACGGTTGTGACAGCTACAGATATCTCCTGACATGTACATATGTCTCCAAGCAGCCCTCGTGCTCCCTAGGGATGGACTGAGCTGAGTCAGAAGAATGTCAGTCATTTCCTGCTAGTTGTCCCTGTGGAGAAGTATTTAAGGCAGCAGGCAGGGATAGTGGTGTTTGCCTCATGGATTTGCTTATAATCTTTTATCAGTTTGACCCAAACCTGGTGAGTGTGAGACCTTTTGGGCACATTCTGAGTCTCAACAGATGTTGGGGGCCACCGTCCACTTGTCTCAGAATACATGTGTGTCCAGTGAGTTCTGCAGATGACAATGCTAGGGGCATGGATGCCATGAGAGTCAGTGGTAAATTAGGAAGTGGAACAATCTCAGAGCCTGTGGGCTGCAGGTTTGAAATGCAGTCAGTGAGCAGAAGGTGTTTTCAGAATCCAACAAGTGATTTTGGCTGTATACTTTCCTTAGTCTTAAATCCTTGGGTTGCCAAGGCAACTGTGAACTGCTTTTGCTTGGGGATTCTGAAGGCTGAGATAAGGATGTGAGGTGTAGGCTGAAGCGTGGGATGCTTCCTGCATGTCATGGTAATGTGTCATTCGTTGAGCCTCTGACACCCTGCCTCTTAGAGTAAGATTAGGGAACAAATCATGATGCTTCATGGAAGTCAGTTTGTTTTCGTTAAAGAGTTAGAGATTGATGTATTTATAGGTGAAAAGGCTGTCTTCTGAAGACATCTATGTCAGGTGCCATTTGGGGCTTTCTGAGCAGTTGCTCAGATGTGAAACCTTCAGGTAGGTCCTGGCCACTTGTCATGTCCCCTCTGTGTGCCCCCATCCTGGCTCCTGGTGGCCCCTGGGACCACTTAACTTGTAGAAGTGAATTTCTAAACAAATGCATGCTAACCCAGCAGGTCTGAAAAATCAGCATTAAAAATGATTTTATTTATGTGATGATAGCTGGTTGAAAATGGCTTTAAATTAGCATATCAGTTGTGCATACCATGAGATGGACACAGGCAAGTCTTCTGGCTGAGTCCTCATCATTTCTCTCTGGGGCGTCCTAGGGTGGAGCGTCCCCTGATCTGTCTGCAAAGAGAGGTCGGTGATGATCCTCAGGGTAGCTAGTGATGCTTCTGTAGGTAAAATAGTGTCTACCTAGCTCGGGAATGGTGAAGAAACATTCCAGGCCCCCCATCAACACTCATTCCTAAAATATACTGCAAGCATCAAAATGTGAAGCTATTTTAAAGTTAAAGATTTTGTCGAGTTAATGTGCTGAACCTTGGGAAGATTGAACCTCCACAGGTTGGGATTTTAAAGGACATGTCAGGACCCCAGTGTAGCTCCAGCTGAAGATGAGGGATTTGTGGGATGCAGTGTTGACCATAGTCTGTGGTACCTCCTTGCTTGGGGGATGGATGGCATTTTTTTTTTTCATTCCTCTCTGGATCAGATGCAGCCTACATTTCTTTTTCTATCTCATCCCTGGCAGTGAATGGGAACTGAAGGGAGTGATTCAAGCCTCCTAGACCATCATAATCATCCTAGTCCACACAACACAGATAGGAAGACTTGCAGGAACTTAAAAACACGTGAGCTTTTCTCTGTCGCCCATGTACAGAATTAACGGTTGTGACACGTATCCCAAGCACAGTAGTCCTGGTGCCGACTAGGCTTGGGACATCTACACTATTGACAAGGTAACCTTTTTATGCTGTCATTTAGACAGCATAACACTTTTATCAGTTTTATCATATGTTACATCCCGACCACAGTTTCCCCTTCCTCCATTCTCCTGAGGCCTCCCCTACCTCCCCTTCCCTGAGGATCTGCAACTTCGTTTCCATTCAGAATTAATCATCTTTGTAAAGAAAATCATCCGTGCTTGGGGTGGCTTTGAATGAAAGGATTAGCACGGCTCTGAGGGAAAGATGGCACCATCTGCTTCATCCCACCCACTTCGTACATCCCACAGCACCGATCTGGGCTTCACCTTTTGCCACCTTTCCTGCTCATCTTTCCTCTGGGGCTTTCCTCTCAGATACGACTGACAGCCTGCTGAAATCATCTCCAACCGGACCACGTGACAGTGTGTTTAGGGCGGCAGCTGGTGACTAGGCAGGCAGCACTGGAATAGTCTTGTTGAAATGAGGGCCTGGCACTGAGGTGGGAAAGTTAAATCCCACCTTCCTACCAATCCTGGGAAGGACAGTGCTAATACCAGACAAGAGTGAAGGAGGCGAGAACAAGAGGCAAGCGCAGGCACAAGCCAGAAACCCGGAGCTTCATGGGCGTGCGTGTCCCGGCATTCAGCAGTGCTTACCACAGACTGACTTACAGGGTCTAGTTATATTCTGATATACCCAGTGTGCGCAACGTGACTTCCATCTCGAGGTAGGTGGACTCAGTCCCACACAACCTTCTCTTTTGCATCCCTGAGCAGTACTTAGCCAGAGCCTTCTTACAGTACTGAAGGACCTCATTGTCCCTCCCTCTTCATGCTGAGCTCCAATGGAAGTGCTTCTTTTGTCGTGGTGAACTTGAAAGCATTCCTATGGACACAGACCAGCCTAACCATTCTTTGAGATGAGGAGACTGGTGAGTCCAGCCAGGTGACTATTCACCCTGGAGTACTTGGCCGAGCTCGTGGTGTCCAGTCCCCACCAGAGAAGCCCAGACAGCGCCTCCTCGTCTGGTGAAGTGTGTCGTCTGGGCTGAGGAATGAAAAAAGAGCTGTATGGAGGGATATGCTTCTGGGAACCCAGCAGCCACATGTTGAGATGACAGAGCGCTGGCACCCCAGACCCTGTAGGGTTCTTTCTGTTTTATTACAAAGAAAACAGATTCTGGTAGGATGCCAAGTTGGTGGGACAGTCACCTTAAGCTGAGCAGTGCTTCTCTGTGGCGATACTCCTTTTTTTTTCTTTAACCCTTTGGTCTTCCTTCCCAGAGAGACAGAGCTCTTGAGCTGTTCTGTTCTCAGGGAGGGTTTGTGCCTCTACCTGGGACTTTTTTTCAGGTTAGTTTGGATTCTGTGCTCCATGCCATTATGTTACAGGGTGTTTTTCCTCCTGGCCCCAAGCTTCCGATACAGACTCGTGAGACTCAAAATATTATTTACAAATACATAGGCCATATAACTAGGCTTTTCTCTGACCAGCTCATAACTTAAAACAACCCATTTATGCTAATCTACATTCTGCCACGTGGCTGGTTACCTGTGCTCAGACACCATTTTTCCGTCCTTCTTGCTTCTTGCTGACAAATCTCCTGCATCTGGCTCTATCCCAGAATCCTTTCTTCTGCTGGACATCCTACTTCCTATTTCCTGCCTCAGCTATAGGCCGTTAGCTTTTTA